GGGGAAGGGGGCAGAATAGGAAATTTAAACTAGGATTTCAGGTATCCGTTAAGCCTACTTGTGTTTGAGGCCTATCATTCATTTCTTTGTAATATGCTGTAACAATCTCCTCCAAAACAAAAGGTTGGTTCATATTTAATTAAGCAAATATTTGCACAATACACTCCTAAACAAAGCTAATACAAGTATTTTAGTGCTAGCTGCATACACAACACTGCTTGATGCTCCCGAAGTGTAATGGGTGAAGGGTCATGTTGAAATCCCCACCTCCCATTTCCTTCAGCATTTGATTTTGCACAGGTCAATAAACACCCAGGCACACTACATATATAAATATACTTACAGCAAATGGGAATATGTTGTCGGATCTGTTCAAGCTCTCTTCCATCCAAGATTTCTGTGCAAAGGCAGAATTGGACCTGGCGTACTTCTGCAACTGTATGTGATTATTCCCGAAATTCTTCTTCAGAGGAGAGATGGAATTCAAAGGTGTTATTCCGCCATTGAGTCCTCTGCGGTGGTCCCTACCTTGGGACCCACCCCAACCTCCATATCCACTACCGCCTGGGCTCCATGAAGAAGATGGTGTGGGCGATGGGCTTTGGTAGCTGCTCCATGGAGAGGGAGGCTTATTGAGATTATTGGCCAAATGGGGCAGTTGGTTAAAAGCAGCATTTCTATGAGGGAACGGGGGTGGATGTGGACTCGCAGGGGACCTCCTTTGCTGTTGATGTTGGTTGTGGTGATGCTGAAAATGGGGATGATGGGGGTGATGTTGGGACATGGGTCCAATCTGTGGAGAAAAGCTACCCCCGAAACTAGGGCTCACGTGGTGAGGGAAATTTTGGAACAGCAAAGCACCATTATTTGCTGAAGCAGCAGTGACCCCTCCCTGGTGAAAGAAACTCGCATCTTCGTTAATAATAGTGTTAGAAGATGGGGCGATAGCAGCTGACCAGTTGCTGAAACCAGTGAGAGGGGATGCAGAGGATGTCAGGGTCTGATTTGAAGACCCAAGCCCTGATGCTTCTTGGTAATCAAACCCTGTCAACACAGGAGATTCAATTCGGATCTTCTCCTTGCCATTTTCGGGTGAGCTGTCGCCTTGATTTTCATCCGATTTCCCCTTTTCTGAGTCAGGTAGGATTCCTCCTTCCTGGCTTTGGTTGGGGGAATGCTGCTGTTTTTCTAAAGACTCTTGCTGTTCCTGTTGTTGGGATTTGATTTTCTCCGACCCCAGAATCTCATCCTGAATGTTATGGGCAGCTGGAGCAGGAAAAAGCCAAGCTGAGCCAGCATTACTGCCATTGGCAACGGTGTTATTTATAAAAGCAGCAGGGCTCGGGGTAGTGTTTTGATGGTGGTGAGGAGGCTGCAGATGTGGATGAAACCTGACCGGAAAAGCCGATTTATTCCCAGTGTTATTTTGCACCAGCACTCCAAACCCGTAATCCCCCATTTATAACAAATTTTCAAAACAAAAAATATATTTTTCTTTTTCTCTTCTCTCTCTCTCCTCCCTGGAGGCCGAAAATCTGCTTAATGTTCGAACGTCTCCGGATCCGATCGTCCCTAAACACCTCTTGCAACACAGAATAATGGTTGTGACAAACGTGAAAAAAAACGATGGAATCTGCCCCTTCTAACAATAATCCTTTTCAGACATTTGCCACAGATTAACGTGGCTCCTTCAGAAAGGGAAGGAGTGAAATCTACCAAAATATCTTTGGTTTATAGGAAACTGGGTTGTGCCTGGGCTGCCTTGTGCCTCACCCCCAGCTTCAATCCATTAAGTGCAGCTCAGAGATCAATAGGGATTTTTCTGTCATGGAGAGACTCTCTTTTTTTTTTTTTTTTAATCTCGCACACCGCTAAAAGGTAACAAGGCAGAATATAAAGGGGCTCAATGAGATCTTGTCTTGGTTGCTGCGGCTGGCTGTACGTCGTCTTCCTCTCAATACCCTGGCTCGCCCATCATCCAAGGGAGAAGGAAGAAAAGGAAAAAAAAAAAAGGGAGAGAGAGGAAAATAAGATGACGTCTCATTTTTTTTTCTCTGTACATGAAATGAACACTATAATGCATCTTCTATACACACACACACAGATATAGAGAAGCACATTGATATATAAAATGGTGACCAGGATCAAAGCAGATCACAGTGAAAACAGGGCAGCCTAGGCAATAATTACCTCATGAAGCCAGCCTTTCAGTGACAGCAGCTGTTTTCTGCGGATCTCTGTGGCTAGGTGCTGCCTCAGTGGATTAGAAGAACGTCAGTGTCCCTGGCGCAGCAGAAGCAGCTCCCCTCAGAGTGACATTACAGCCTATGGCTGGGTGATGAGTGCGGCCCCGGTGACAGCCCAGTGTGTGTCAGGGTGCTGAGGGAGGGGGGAGAGGACAGGATTCTCTGTGTCGGTGACAGGGTGGGGGTATGGGAGGAAGAGAGGGTCTTATGTGTCGGTCTCCGGGGGAGGGGGAGATAGCGATCCCTCTGTGTATATCTCTCTTAGATCCGTGTCCGTCTCCGCTGCTCCTCCCCGTCCTTCTAGTCTGGACCGAGCACACAGAGAAATGACAACCAGCTGGAGCAAGAGGCGCTTCCGGTTCGAGGCACAGTGCCGCCCCTTCGACCGATCACAGCCAATAGCTGGACGAGGCAGGATGTGCCGCAAGCCAGAACATCGATAAGCCACGCCCAAGAAGGTCAAAAGGACCAGAAGGAAGCGGAGGAAAGTGAGCTGACTCAGAGACCGCCTTCTAAGGTAGAACGTGAAAGGGATTGGCTCCTCCCCTGAAGGTCAGCAGCCCTGACTCCGCCTACTCAGGTCACTGTTGATAGGGATGTGCACAGTGCGCGTCTAATGAGGTCAGCCAGAGGCTTGGGTGGTGTCTGGTGGTGACAGGCTGGCAGTATGTGGACACATTGCACTTGCTGCATCACAGCTCACCGGCATCTTTGGAAAAAAACTGTGCTGTCAGCAGGAATGTCTCTGTCTGAGAAAGTTTCATAGCACATCATATTGATACTTCTAAAATACGTCATCTGCTGATCTCTCTCTTTATAGTAAAACAGGAGTGGGCAATTCATTTTCTCAAGAGGCCACATGAGAAACTGGAACTGTTGTGGAGGGCCAACGCATTTCTGTGCAGGTGCATGCGTAAACACGTGCATGCAGAAACTGATAAATTATCCGATAGGGGGATCTCTGATGGATGCAACTAACAATTATTTGTCCCCATCAGAGTGCCCTCTTACATTGGTTGTTCGCTTTAGAGTGCCCCCCCCCCCCACTTTTGCAATTATTGTAAGGGCATTCTGATGGGGGCAACTAATGTAGGGGGCACTACGATGGCTGCAACTAATAATTAGTTTTCCTCATCAGAGTGCCCCCTTACATTTGTTGTTCCCATCGGAGTGCACCTCCCACTTTCGTAATTAATGTAAGAGGGCACTCTGATGGGGTAACTAATGTAAGGGGGCAATCCGAAGAGAACGACTATTAGTTGTACACATCAGAGTGTCCCCTTAAATTGATTGTCCCCATTAGAGTGCCCTCTTATTTTCATAATGTACTGGGGCACTCTGATGGGGACAACCAATGTAAGGGGGCACCCTGATGGGGACAACTAATTAATAGTTGTCCGGGTCGCCGTTAGAGTGCCCCTTTATATTATTGTCCCCACATACCTTATTAGTAGGCCAGGAGGTGGAGCAGGCTGCTCTGTAGAAGATGTTCTTGCGTCCTCCTGTAAAGCTGTGGGCGGGGAACACATATGACATCACTGGTTGCTAGGACTGCTCGGCGCTCCTACCAACCAATAACTGCGAGGACACCTGATGTCATTGATTGCTAGGATGCCAGTGGTCCTAGCAACCAACGGCTAAAGAGGAGGGGGCCTGCGCTGGGCTATGGCCTTGGAGGTCGGCGCATCCAATGTCAGCCAGCCATAACAGAGTGCAGGTTGGCGATCGGACCGGACAGAGACAGCCAAAGGGCCGGATGTGGCTTGTGGGCTGTAAAATGACCAGGTCTGTAGTAAACCCAATCACTATGATCTCATTTAAGATTTAACATACTAATAACATTTTGGAAGTCACTGTTGATTTCTCAAATTTGGGCAAACTAAGCAAGTGTTTATGATGGCTATTGTTAATAGGGACTCTGACGCCATTACATACAATGTAATACCAGAAGTGCTGCATTGTAAATGAGGGTGTCGGGGGACATTTCAAGGGCATTTCAGCTATGTCTGATTATTTTTAGTTTAGCTTTATGATTCTTTTTCTTGGACTGCATAAAGATAGCCATACCCAGATCAAATTTCTGTTGATTCCTGCTGAATCGCCCAGAATTCGAAGTTGTGGGTAGCCTTGTTGGCACCACCTGGCTCCACCAAAATCAAAGGAAAAATCAAAGAGACGCGTAGTAAATTCTCGGCTGAACAGCAACCAATTAAATGCCGTCACTGTTCGGGTATTCATGCAGCAGCTGATGGGGAATCAAGAGAATTCTCTTGTTCAGATGTGTATGGCTAGCGTTAGCTTTTATTTATTACCTCATTATTCTGTTTAATTACTTTATTTCTTGTTATGGGTCTGCAAATTCTACCATCTCATTTTGTTATGAAACAAGCTTTGAAAATAGGCACAATTTCAGACAAAGTTTGCTTATTCTTTCCCCCCACTACCCTGACCCTATAGATCCCACCCTTTATCTTCACAGATGCATACCCACCGAGCTCTGACACCTTCCGTGTTTGTTTTCATCCACACGTCTCTGCTGGCTGCACCTGCGCAGTAAAGCCCCATAGAAGACTACAAGTTCGTCTCCTGGCCAGGAGATGAAGGTTCACAAGCCCCATGGAAGCCAGGAGAGAGAAAAGACTTGCAGCTTGGGATGTAAATAATCCCTAGAGGCAGCAGGCCCTGAATCGTTGTAAGTATGCATTTGTGGAGGGGATCTGTCAGGTCAGGGAAGGGGGACAAAAACAATGAGTGAACTTTGGTTTAGAGTGCACTTATCCTGTAGATGATACCTGTTTTAAAACAATGAGAAGTCACTTTAGTTGGAACCTGCTAATATATGTTTTATTACATTAGCTTAATTATTTACAGTGGAGACAACATCCTTGATGTAATAATATGCTTTTGACACTGTTTTTTAAATGCATTTGCATGGTCAGTGTTAAAACAATAACCTAGATCATTGTTTTGGAAAAGTACTTTCCCTGGAAACAAGGGATCTGCCAATTGAAAGTGTCTGAAAGAAGAAACTGCTCTGTTTCCAACTTTAGGCAATCAGCTTCTCTCTTTTATTACTTGGCTACGGGCAACACCAGGGCCAGAATTTCTTCTTGATCACCAAGGCCAACACTCTGGTGCTACCCCCTCCTAGACATTTAGCAAACCATGGTATCATAGTAAAGGTCATAATCACACTAGGCACACCGAGGGTGGGGGTAGAGAGGCTGAAAGAGACAGTTTACCCATTTGTTTTAGTACACCTAGAACTAACAAATTGAAGACTAGGGCAAATGGGTACTTTAAGCTGACCATACACCTGTAGTTTTTTTTTCTCGTTCAACATACATGAATGGGGAATGTTCCCTGCTGGTTATTGTAGTCTGACAGAGGCTGGTGTGCTGCTGGTAGAATACCCGAACTGTGACTGGTTGGTTCTAGTCACTGTTCAGCTTACAATTTACAGCCTGGCTCCTTTACCAAAAGTCGATCGAAAAAACAACTTTTGTTAAAAGGAGGGGTACCGTCAGAGTCGATTCAGCCAACATTTTGGCAATTAGAAGGAAGATCTATGTATGCCAGGTGGCTTTACAGCATGGACCACAACTGCAGTAAGTTTATTGTGTGTGGATGGGGCGATTGAGCATTTTTTCTCCTTTAGTGCATGGAACTGAATGAGAAAAAACCTACAATTATATGGCCAGCTTTATTCAAAAGCAATAGAAAGCTTGACTGATCGCCAGAGGTGCTTGTTATCATACAGGGAGATTTTCTGATTTGTAAATTCACCTTCCTGATGTGGCCTGATCCATTGCTCCCCTAAGGCATCAGTGCCTTGGGGCATGTTGCCTCGTACAGTGTGAAGGGCTGTTTTTTGATGCACCCGGAGCTGCGGGCAAACTCATGTAAGTCTATGGAGACACACGAGTTCATACTAGCAGCTTCAAGTTTTGACAGCTGCACACAGATCGTGTACAGCCTCAGATGCTTACATGATGGACCCAGGTCCACACGCAGTCTGTGTTGGGGCTGTCAAAACTTGGAGCTGCAGGAAGCAGCTTGTGAGGGCAAACAGCTCCTGTGTCTCGATAGACTTACATGATTTGCCTGCACACTTCTTCCCACAGCTACAGGCTCATCAAAAATGGGGCAACATACCCCATATGAACAGGGGTAAGAGTGAAGGATCACAAATGCCACATATGCACTGCCTCAGCACTGGGCAAAGATTGAGGTGGGTCCTAGCACTCTTACAAGAAGGGGTATTTATCTCCCACCTGTTTTTTTCTGGGAGATAGCTGCCTATTTATCACCATCTGAACAATTGATCTGTGAATTGTAATCATTTAGTAGTGTAGGGCTCACCCCCGAAGGAGCCGCCAGAAAAACCCGGGTCATTACTAGTTTGTTTAGCGGTTTTGGTATTTAGCTGCACCATTAGCATTATCCTCCCTCTTCTAGTGCCCACAGAACTGACGTCCAGGCCAAAAGTGTAATGCTGAAGAACGTTTATTAAACATATTCACTCTGGGAGAGAGGGTATGGGATTCTAGACTTCCAGGGTAGAACAGACTGCAGACTCACCAGTCCCTTTTAGTAATTCAGTGTATATCCATTTGTAGCACAGTTGAATAGGTATTTGAAAAAAACAGATGAGCAGGGATAGGCACAAATCTCCCATAAGAGAGACACTAGACTTGCTCCTGAAGTCCACTATGTTTCGGGCACCTCCAGCAGCCATCAGTTTCATTGGTTCTCCTCCTCATCCAGAAGCAAAGGTCTCCTCCAAGCTTGAGGCCGAGCTAAACACTTACCGCACTCAAGCATCCCCACCCCCAGGCCTCAGGCCTAGCCTGGGGGCAGGCTGGACAACACCTCAACCTGGACTAATCCATGGCTGGAGCCCGACTAGAATTAGACTGAGCACATGGCAATTCCCTCAAGTATATAAGCACTGTCCCAGCATGCAAAACTGGTTGAGAGAGCCCCAGTGTTTGGCTGGTGAATTGTACACACACTCACAGTGTCCCTCATTTAGTGTTGTATACTGCAGCAGAGTCACACTCCACCCAAGTAGCTACAATCAAGGCCAGGACACCTGGAATTACCAAGATGAATCCCAACTATAATTGAGCTAGACTGACTACAGCTCTGGCAATCACTAAATTTCTAGTAGCCACCTCACAAAGGGTGATAGGGGCTACAGTAGCATGAAAGTGAATTCTCGTAACAGTGATTTCAACAGTGTTAGATATGAGACATCTGTAAACAAGAGTTTAATCACATACTACAAAGATATTAGTAGTCTTGGCTGGTAGATTAGG